TGAAAAAAACCCAAACTTGAGTCTGTGTCTTACTAGTTCTGGCCCTGAGTCAGTATTCTCAAAAGTGTAAAAACTGCTGCAGGGAGTTAGCAAAACATTTTAGGACAAAAAAAATAAGGGGGAGGAATGTTTTAAGAACTTGTAATGAGAAGAGTTAAGGCAGAAGGGCTTTTGTAGGCTGTGAGTGGAGATGCTGTCTCAAAGCCACAGGCCTTCCTTGTGCACTCTCACCTCCAGCGGTGTGTTGTTCCCTCCTTTAGCCCCAGTAAGATTGTCAGATTTAAACATGAGGTAATTAAAATTCAGCCTAGGTAAAATGTTCAGCCTTCTTTTACCTCTCTTTGCTGTAAGGTTGCTGGGGGTGGAGGGGAGTAAAAATGAGGAGTGTTTTCAGTCTTTGCTTTATTTAAAAAAAAATAAATTAATCATTGACCCGATGAAATAAAGGCAACATCAGCTGGAACTTTAGGTCACTGTAACATAAGTCAGGTAGTGAATCAGAAAATTCAATTATTTTGCAGGGAAGAGCGTATATGAGTACGTGGAACTGTTTTACTGGTTGTGTTTTCTCTGCATCAGGCAAGCACCAGCTGGCCTGAAGGGTGGGTTGAAGAGTCCAACCAGTTCTCAGCCATCTGCAGAGTATTGAAAATGACTGTTCCTTAGTGTGATGTGTGTGTCAAGTGTCTGTAAATAATAAAAATCTAAGAATTGTTAAAATAGGAAGTGAAATGCAATGGTGAGATATTCTGTTTTTGTTTGAATTGTCATCGTTTATGTATCTTTTCCATTGCATGATTCATCTTTTGCTTCTTTTCTGCATAATGCTGCTTGTAAGGTGAAAATAAGTAATCAATGGCTGAAAAATGGTTGCTTGCGTCCCCGCAGAGGTTGGGAATGAAAATAAGTAATCAATGGCGGAAAAAAGGTTGCTTGCGTCCCCGCAGAGGTTGGGAATGTGCATGTCAGACATGTCAAAGTACCCTCTTTTCTGAAAAAAAAATCTTTTTTTTTTTTTTTTTTTTTGGAATAATGAGATGGGCTTTTCCAGAATAGTGAGTAACAGTCATGGGTTTAGGCAGTCTACTAGTTTGAATAAAATACATATTTTAACTGTTCATCAGTGAGTTCTTGTTGTTTAACTGAAAACTAACATTCTTAAACGTTTCATAGGCACTGTTTGTATCTGACCATGTCTTGGTCTTTGGTGACTGACTTTTTAAACCTGTATGGTATGCTGCTCCAGGTCCAGAGGGATTACTTAGTGTAGTGAAGTTTTCCACAAATTCAGGAGAAATGCATGGCAGCAAACAGGGTTATCTTTTTAGAGGTGAGTATCGCTTGCATTGACTTAAGTCTCCCTGTGTGAACAAACGCAATTTCTTTAATAATTTCTTCTGTGTGTTTTATGAGAAGTACTGGGGGAAAACCCCAAACTTTTGCATCTTAATGTTTTCAGTGTTTTGATGTGTTAGAAATTGTTGTGAAATTGCAGCCTTAAATTTGTTGTCAGAGCTAATTTCAATAATATTTCAATATGATTTCAATAAAATTAGTTTTTGTAATACATTGTTTCAGCCAGGGCAATGATCTGAAAACTGGAAAATGGCTACTACCTTCGGACTTGTTTGATGGTGAAACGAAGTGGAAGCTCTATGTTTGAAACACTGAGGTCTTTGCAAGCCTTTGTAGCGTAGATAGTGAACTTTTGTCTTACAATTAAGAGACAAACTAAACCTTTTGATAGTGGTATTGGCACCCTGCAGAGCAATATGTCAGCTGCAAAAGTTTTTACACTGTCATGCTCCTTGGCCAAAAAATGTCATTAAGTGTTATCTTTCTTTCCCTTATACCACTTAATTTGAAAATAACAAACCATGTGCATGTAACATAACTGCATTTTAGCCTGTGACTTTGATGTGCATTAGCTGCGTTTCCATTGCTTCTCCTGCTCAGTAACATATGAATTACTTCTATTGACACGAAGAAACTTAGAAAAAATAAAAATTGTGTGTATAGTGATTGAGAGATTCCAATAATTACTACCTACTTGCTGAATTGTAGAGCCAACTATCTCATTAATAAACCTGTTTGTTACTAAAAAATGAGCAGAGATTGTTAAAGTCCACAAGAAGTTCATCAGAGACTTTAAAATTGGGCATTAGTACTTCTGGTATTCACTCCAGTTATCAGAGTTAGATATAATAGATTCATTACCACTCACAGCAACCTACAAAATAAGAAGTTTTTGGATATTTTCTCCTTTCTGAAAACCCGAATTCAATACTTAACAAGGTTTCCTGAGCAGGGCACAGTGCATGATGGCATTATAGGGATGGTTTTCACATATTGGTATTGCTAATATATATTTATTATAGGGATGGTGCATATAAGATTGTTTTTCACATATTGGTATTGCTAATATATATTTAAAGTGCAAGAAGTATTACTAGTACCTCAATTAACTGTTACACTCTTAATAATTTTTACAATGTAAAAAGCAGATTTAGAAAAATTCTGTTTACCTTTACATGATACCTTCATGTAAAGGCAATTTTTTTATTTCGGGGTTTACCTGTTGGAAGAGCCTATAAGCAGTGCTTAAGTACCAGTGCTTAGACTTACACACCAGCCAGCTGGTATAGCCAGATCTTCAGGTGCTTAGACACCAGCCAGCTGGTATAGCCAGATCTTCAGGTTTTCTCTACTTTTTGGAGGTATTTGTGAGTAGCTTGATGTTTTTGACATCTGCGAGACAGCTTCTTGCATAAGAGCTGAGCAGCCTGTTATACCACCCAGCTGTGTGTATTAGTCTGTACCTCAGGCTGAAGAGGGGCACTTAGCCAGATCTGACAATCAGATGGGAACTAGTACTACCCATACACAGGAGTGCATTTTAATGTTGTGTGCTTTTTGCCAAGAGGCTGGTACTTGACAAAGAAATTGTCAGAATCTCTCTTCTTCCCACCTCTTCTTTTCTTCCCATAGATGTGTGTCCATGTTGAAATGTATGATTTTCTTCCTGCAGTTTAATAAGGTTTCTCTTACAGATAACAAAGCCAATCTAATGTTTTCGGTGATTTCACCTAATAAAATTATAGCAAGTTTTTTGTCACAGAGAAGTGTTACTCTTCTACAATATGCAGCAAATTAGCATGTCGTTTTTTGCGACCTTAATCTAAAGTTACATTACACTCAGTTTCACCAATGACTTCATGTCAACACACCAACAGCCTGTCCCCAAAGAAAACTAGAGACCTAAGGAATTTACATTGCTAGTTCATAAATTTTTGTGCTGCTCTTCTCAGTCTAGTTAAGAGTCAGTGATCAGCAGAGTGTGAGTGTGGAGATGAGTAAGTGAGAGCTGCCTGCTCTGATTTTAGTTCAACTGATCTTTTAGCGGTAAACCTTAAAATCTTCTGCACTTCCTCAAGGTTTTAAGCTTCTTTTTTCGTGCTTAAAATTGAATAAATAAAATTCACTGTCACAGAATAAAATACACAGTAACACTTTTCGTAGTTGAGCTTTCCTTGTTTATGTGTTTGCTATAAGCCAGGAGTTAGTTACTACATGTGCTATTTCTTTCTTCATTTTTTAAATAGGATTGCCAGAATAGGGATTATCTCTTTTGCCCTGTGTATGCAACCAAAAAAGATTATGAAAAGGGGAATTTACAAGAAAAAAAGTTTGGTTTTTTTTTTTAACAACGAATTCTCTTTTTTGTGGAATAATCAATTTGCAGTGACATCTATGTGATGAAATATGTAGTTGTTCCTATATAACTTGGTTTTATGAAAGTGTTAGTGATACCCTATTTTAACTTATTCTGTGTTTTCCTTTGTTGTATGCCCTTATTGTTCTTTTAAAAACTGTATTCTATTTCCATCTGGTCTTGCTCTTACAACATAAAAGTGTTGAGCGAGGTGCAGTTGCAATTATTTCTTGTGATAGTGTTTATGTAGTTGAAAATATTGCTATAAAAATGAGAATTTGAATCCTGTTATCTGCAATATATCAAGAATTATGGCAGATGTAGTTTTATGATCTTTGAGTTGCATTTTTATTAGAAAATATTTATTAATGATCAAAGTTTGTAAAGAAACCATCCTTGCAAGCTAAAAGAAGAAAAAAATAAAGGAAGCAGTGTATTAATTTTCTAGGCCAATACTTCCACTGGTATCAATTTTTACACTGTTGTTAATCTGCACTTATGTTGAATCAGTGTTGAATAAGACTGTGGGTAGCTAAACGTGAATGCACTTGTCATGGATTGGGATTGTTTGATTCAAAAAATCTGATGGCCTGTTTCAAGCTTCCCTTGTGCTTTAGATGTACAACTAATTGTATAATGCATACAAAGATTCTGTTTTAATTTTACCTGGAAAATACAATTTGGGGAAAATCAGGCTTTTATTTTAGCAATTTCTTGGTGGTCCTGTTGGCTGAGTGGAGCCATCTCCATTGGTGGAGATTCACTCAGTCTTAAAGAGAAGTAAAGAGGGAGTTAGGAGAAGAAGGGGGACAGAGAAAACCTGTTCTTCAGTCAGCTGGTTCTTAGCGCACTCCCAACATCGCGGCAGATTTGTGGCTGTCTGCTGGCATGGCAGGTCTTGAGTATGGCATTTGAATTAACAAATTGAAGTAGAACATAAAAAGAAATGGGAAATTAGTATCAAGCTACAAAGTAGGTATAGTTCTGAAGAACATCAGACCAAGATGGATTTTCATGAACGTAATAAGGAGTGATTACCTAAAGAAAAATTTGGAAGGAAAAATGTCCGTGTGCTCTTAAACAACCTTACCTGAATTACAGCTTTGTAAGTGGAAAAGCTCCACTGATTTTTGCATCTATTTTTCCTTATTTAATTTTCGAGAATTGAAAGTAGTAAGGGAAATAATTGCACGTTTGTGTCTTTTTAATACAACTAGTTTTATACTTGGCTATTTTTATCTTGGTTTTTAGTCTAATTTTCTGCTTCAATTTTGTCCCTCCAAAACAGAAAAAAAAGCTTCTTGAAGAACTTGGAGAGAATAGACTTCCATATGTGACACCAGCCGATGCTGATTTCCATCAATTGGTAATGTACTTTAACTGTACTTGATTTCAACTAAAATGACTGTTTGCACTGAGCAACAAATAAATCTTTCTTCAAAGAGATACTGTGAAATCTGATGTGAGGAAGGTATCCTGATGGCTGATAATGTCCTTTCAGGTGGTGCTAAGTAAGACCTCTAGAATTCAGGTATTCAAAACTGAAAACTCTGTGACCTTCATTTATTTGTAGGATTTAGCCCCGAGTATCAATACCCGAGTACCAGGTAACACATGTAGCAATGAATTGGAATTTCTTATGCTTTGTTAAAATAAAATACGTCTCAACATTCTTTTAAGGTTTTTTGGGGTTTGTTTGTTTGGTTTTTTTCCCCTGACTTGTGATAAGAACTATTCTTTATATCTCAGGTTTGGCAAAATAGGGAAAATATTAACATTGAAATTTGAAATGTTTTCACTTAATTCTACTTTCAAACAGTAAGAAACCCTTCAGACTGCTTACAAAACAAACTGTGAAAACTGGAATGCATGCCTCAGATGAGACCAAATCAAAGTGAAAACAGGCCCAGTAGCCACATGAGTAGTAATAAACCAAATAAGTGTATGGAAGAGTATCATGAAATTGGTAGAATATTCTGCATCTATCTTGGATCTTTCTAGGTCAGCTACAAAACACATGGCAAGAATTGTAGGTTCGGTCAGATCAAATGAGAACACGGTAAGATGAAAAGCACAAGAAAGAATCTCGTAGTTTGAACAGCTACAGTGAGCACGCTTACACTACAGGCATGTCACCTTCCTTGTATTGACATATGGCTCAAAGATGTATATGGTAGCATAAAAACAGGTCTGACTCTTTCCTTGCAAGGATAAATTTCTCTTTTGCAGGACTCCAAGGCCAAGAAAAGTAGTCTTACAGTGCTGAAGGTAGCATAAATAAGCTCGATTGGCATCTTTAACAGCTGTAAGGATAATATAACATGAAAACATGTAACTCCCTGCTAACCATAAAAGCACTTCTGTGTGTAAAGGCAAGTCACATGTAGAAGAGCTTAACAGAATGATTTTTATTTTTTTTCTTTACAAAAAAACCAACCCCAAGCACATTCTTCTCAGTCTTAAACTAATGTTCAAGAAGTTCCTTCCCCCTTTTAAGACTTTGGTAGCTTACTGTTTTCTATTCCCATCCCCTTCTGTTTGTTCTCTCCTTTTATATCTTGCTGCCAAGAGCTGCTATGTCCAGCATCTCTTTTTTTTTTTTTCCCATCTTTGTAATTCAACAGTATCGTGGAGCTGCCGTGAAAAGAGAAGATGGAGCCAAGGTTGCCCAAGTAGCATCTCATTTGCTCGGTATTATAAACCCATAAATACAGGAGATAATGGGAACAGGATAAGCAGTTAAATCAATCAGACCTGTTCGTGCCTTAATAGAGTTTAGATACATTCATTTTGAATCATATAGAATTATACTTTTTGTGAAGTGTTTATGTGCATGCTAGGTTTTTTTAAGTGTATGTATAATGATAAGCATCACCTTTTAGCTTCTTACGGTGGTTATGAAAGGTTACTTTAATCACAGCTGTAGATATTACAAGTCCCATGATGCCTAAATGTATTACAGATGGAGAGGAAAAGAAGAGCAAGAAGACAGCAAATTGGCGAAATAAAATCTCACATACAGTTTAGTTTTAGAGTCTGCCTTTCCTGGAGAGAGCTGCCTTACTTCTTTAAGGATCCTCCCCTTATAAATTAGTATCCTTTGAATTTGTTGGAAAGGTTAGATAGGATGCAAGTGAAAAACTACAGAATCCTGTCAGGTATGGAAATGTACAGTCTGAACAAAACTAAGAAATTCCATCACAACAAAAGCTTCACTGACATCCTCTTTCAACGCGTTTTGCCTGATGAAGGAGTTTAGAAATAGGCTCCAAACCATAGGCTGAAAAAATGTAAGGTTTAAAGCCAGTCATGAACAAGAAAAAGTCTGTTAGCAAGGCAATTGACAAATCTCTGAAGTATAAACTACCACCTCATGATGGAAGTGGCAGTTTCCTTATCAAGGGTCCTTATTGTTGACTTCTAACTTTATTCTATCACTTGAGTCATCCTGTAGGGTGAGTCTCTGTGTTGAGTACCACCATTAGAAAAAAGAGCATGTGTGTATTTAACATGAAATGTGTAATACTCCTATGAAATATTGAGCATCAAATGGGCATTTTTTTTTTCTCCTGTGTTTGTGAGTAACATACCTGCTTCTTTCAGAGCAAGCAGCGAATCGCCCTTTAAATACTTGCTGTCAGAGGTACAGCACAGAGTACATGATTACTCCCCTCCCCATCCCCCCAAAACAAGGTGGTGTCCAGTGCGAACAGTGTTCTGATGCCTTAATGCTTTCCTTATGTGGGCTGTGGGGCAGTGACTAGGGGGGGAGATTTAAAGAAGACCAAACTTTTTACTAGGGGGGAGATTTAAAGAAGACCAAACTTTTTTCATGTGATGTGTCAGAAATGTGTTTCTACTTCCTGATTTCTTCTGAGATATCAGTGTGTGTTGGTTTTGGGTTATTTTTTAAAGGTAAAATCCTAAGTATACTGTATAAAACTTCATGATAAAATAGTTGTTAAGCACGTAATCTTTAAAGCACAGCCCAAAGGTAATGTGCCTTTGACTTGGCTGGCAATAAAATGTGGAAGACATTACCTCTCTGGTTCAGGAGGGGAATGCGATGTTGTTACCTTTGTAAAATCTGTGTGCTTCCTTTCTAGGGCATGTTTTCAGGCATTTAGTTGTTTTACATTGTATTGTTATTTCCCTTCTTCTGTTTGTAGTAATTGTTGGCAATTTCATGTGTGTGATTCATGTCAGATATTCAATATGTTAAGTGGTTTAAAATATGTAGTAACAATGACATTTTGAAATATGCCAGAATAGAGTATGTCATGTGGTAATTGGTTAATCTGACCCGAGTTAGTCCAATACAGAGAATTATTTAAAGGAATACTGGGATACTCCTATAGAACTGTTAATGCTTGTTCTTGTCTACATATCATTTGCATAATGAAACAAATCATGCAGTAATAACCTTTAGATGTTCTGTCATGATTAAGTATGTTTGTGAAAGAATACTTCTGATTCCCATCAACCTATACCCACACATCTGACTGTAACCTATAGCTGTAAATCCTTAGCATTTGCAGTTACTGACTTCACTAATTATTCTTTATAAGGATTTTTTCACCATACTGTTCAAAGCCTGAGATAGACAGCGCTGATTGGAACGAAGGGGAGCATTCGGGGCCTCTAAAGGAATCCTTTCAGGCTTGTGGCAAGCTCAGGCAAATTGTGTTTATCAAGCTTGCATTCAATTCTTTTAATGAAAGCTGGGATCCAGTATTCTGTGCTGGGGATTGTAGAGGGACCTTCAAATAGATATCTGGGACTATTTTCAAGATTTGGTGTTTAAGGGTAAGCACGTAAATAGTGTTGTCAGAAACTATTATTATCTGTAGATACTGGTACAGAGTTTTTTCCCCTCTCTAGGAATCTAGTTTTTGGAAACTATAAGAAAGTGTGAAGAAAGGGAGTTAGCTTCACTGTAAAAATTCACTAGATACCGTGGCAAGGTCTATACGTAAACTAAGATTTATTATGTGTAATCATTGTTTTTAAAATAGACTTCCTTTTATATTCCCCCTTTTGGTAGAAACAAATGATCCTATAAAGCCACCTTTTCAGTGTTGTAAGATAACAATGTGTTATGATGCAAAAGTCTAACTGTTTTCATGCGGTAGAAAATGTGCATACTGCCTGGTTTGTATTTTTCAAAGGCACCTCTTCTGGATTTTAAAATTAATTTCCTGGAAAGCAGGTTCAAATCTGACTTGGAAGTAGGTAGTACTGGTAAAGTGGTTTTGAGTTGCACCAGAAGGAGCCCACAGCTGGATTGTAGGACAGTGTGGTGCTTTTTTGCTTGTGGCTTTTACTTGTTTTTTTAAAAGCACTTTGAGCATAAACTGTTATGTTAGTAAAAGTTTTGATAGATCAGTTTTGTCCATCCATGTGCTCTTGCCCCATTGCCTAATTCCTTCTGATTTCAGTTGACCTTTATGTTTTTTCCCCACAACGCCATTTGTGTTTACCTTTTGCCCAGACTAGTGACTACCTTCTGGACAAAAGGAAATAGGTTGTGAGTCGTTTTAAGCTTCACACATGCTAATTGACACCTGATAAGCTCACATCACAGCCTTTCACTTACTAAGGACGCTAGTTTACATCTGTTTCTTTTATTTATTTATTAATTTTAATGAAATACATAGGAACTTGGTCTATTTAAGAACTTACTCTCTACTCTTTGTCCACTGTGCCAAACAGTCCCAGTAGTAGTTAAAGCAGGTTTACAGGCAGCCAATAAGAGGTGTGATTATATGATACTCACTTCCTTAGAAAACCAGGTTAACAAAATAAAGTTATCCAAGCCTTCCTGGGGTGGGAAGCAGTGTTTGGGACACAAAGCAAGATACTGCCGATTAGCGGCATCATCCCTTCCTGGAAGCTGTTGCCTCCACAAACTGCTGGACTCTGGACTCCAGCTGATACCAGAGCTGGTGTGGTCAGAAGAGGATATCAGGAAAAAGTGTAAAAAAGGTATTATAGGTGGGGAGATGCTGGGGGGATAGGATAGGTTTGGATTTTATTCTTAATTTTTTTATCTAAAAGGGGAACTTTTATATAAAATAGGAGAGTTAACTGGCATGCATTGAGGAATATGAAAATAGAAAGGACCGGTATGTCAAAGACTATTTTGAAAAATAAAGGTGAAGTGCAGCAGAATGTTGGTCTTTTTTGAAAATTTACATTTTCATTTTGTTATCTTTACCCTAAAAACTGTTATATAAAACTATATCAGTTTACTGTGTAGCCCTCTAGAATTCTGTACATCAGAATGAGACAGAGCGGTCTTTGCAACCATCGCAAAAAGAGGAGTCACTTTGTTACTGCTTGATATTCCATTGTTTGTATACTTAAAGGTAGCCTTATCTACAGATTTATCAGGGGAGCTTATATGTTCTATTGAGTTCTGCCAGAATTCTCAGATTTATTTATTTAGAGATTTGACCTGGTGATACTCTCTGGTCACAGGCCACTGTACATATCCACAGTTTGTGCAATATATTGAAATATGAAAAGAAAGTAACAAATATTGGCATTTATTTCTTCACCATATTCTAGACTCATGCTTGATAGCATATCAACTTAGCCTTGTCTGTTCTTGAGTATATGAAATACTTTGGTTCATGTAAAAAGAATAATTCTTTTGATGGTTTTGTTTGTTTGTTTTTGTTTTTTGTGTTTTTTTTTTTCCTTTAGTGGAAGACCAAATATTCCAAGCTGATTTTTGGAAAATCTGACACGATACCTGAAGAACTCCATGAAATGGTACAAGAAGGCTTTCTGACCTTGCGAAAACATGAATGTTTCTTTCAAGATCTTGTAAGAATCAAAGGAAAAGATTTTGTTACCCCAGTGTCTCGTATATTAATTGGAAAGCCAGGATGCACTTACAAGTACTTGAACACAAGATTATTTACAGTTCCTTGGCCTACTGAAGGTTATGATATAAATTATTGCAGTCCTGAAATACATGATGCTTGTAAAGCATTAATCAGACTTAATGACTACTTGCATATTGAAGCAGTCAAGGCATTGCAAGGACAAAATCTGTTTGAGACCAAAGAAATTAAAGATACTGCTGTCATAGATAGAGAACAAAATTTTGCTACTTCTCCTACGGAGAAAGGGTCTGTTTCAGAAGATCAAAGCAGTTGTTGTGTACCAGAGGATGACTACATAAGTCTCAAGAGCAGAACATCTTATAACTTGACTCTGTTAAATTATATGGATCCCCTGCAAATGCTGTACTTGAAACAAGAACCTTATTTTGGAATGGGGAACATGGCAGTGAGCTGGCACCACGACGAGAATCTGGTTGAAAGGTCAACGGTTGCCGTGTACAGTTACAGCTGTGAAGGTGAGTGATGGGAGGTATGAGTTGACTAGTGATATAAATATCTTAAATCCCTGAAGCTTTTTTATGTTTCCTTGTGGTATGTACATAAGCACACCTGCATGCTAGTCTAGAGTTGTCACGTGCTTCTGAATGTGTTGTTGTATTTAAGCCTTATCTTTGTTTCTACTAAAACCTGTAGAAAATATACCTGTGTTTACTGCAGCTGGCTTATCAGTCATTCTTTAAGTAGATTTAAAAATTGGTACGATTTTCATGTGATGTGTCAGAAATGTGTTTCTACTTCCTGATTTCTTCTGAGATATCAGTGTGTGTTGGTTTTGGGTTATTTTTTAAAGGTAAAATCCTAAGTATACTGTATAAAACTTCATGATAAAATAGTTGTTAAGCACGTAATCTTTAAAGCACAGCCCAAAGGTAATGTGCCTTTGACTTGGCTGGCAATAAAATGTGGAAGACATTACCTCTCTGGTTCAGGAGGGGAATGCGATGTTGTTACCTTTGTAAAATCTGTGTGCTTCCTTTCTAGGGCATGTTTTCAGGCATTTAGTTGTTTTACATTGTATTGTTATTTCCCTCCTTCTGTTTGTAGTAATTGTTGGCAATTTCATGTGTGTGATTCATGTCAGATATTCAATATGTTAAGTGGTTTAAAATATGTAGTAACAATGACATTTTGAAATATGCCAGAATAGAGTATGTCATGTGGTAATTGGTTAATCTGACCCGAGTTAGTCCAATACAGAGAATTATTTAAAGGAATACTGGGATACTCCTATAGAACTGTTAATGCTTGTTCTTGTCTACATATCATTTGCATAATGAAACAAATCATGCAGTAATAACCTTTAGATGTTCTGTCATGATTAAGTATGTTTGTGAAAGAATACTTCTGATTCCCATCAACCTATACCCACACATCTGACTGTAACCTATAGCTGTAAATCCTTAGCATTTGCAGTTACTGACTTCACTAATTATTCTTTATAAGGATTTTTTCACCATACTGTTCAAAGCCTGAGATAGACAGCACTGATTGGAACGAAGGGGAGCATTTGGGGCCTCTAAAGGAATCCTTTCAGGCTTGTGGCAAGCTCAGGCAAATTGTGTTTATCAAGCTTGCATTCAATTCTTTTAATGAAAGCTGGGATCCAGTATTCTGTGCTGGGGATTGTAGAGGGACCTTCAAATAGATATCTGGGACTATTTTCAAGATTTGGTGTTTAAGGGTAAGCACGTAAATAGTGTTGTCAGAAACTATTATTATCTGTAGATACTGGTACAGAGTTTTTTCCCCTCTCTAGGAATCTAGTTTTTGGAAACTATAAGAAAGTGTGAAGAAAGGGAGTTAGCTTCACTGTAAAAATTCACTAGATACCGTGGCAAGGTCTATACGTAAACTAAGATTTATTATGTGTAATCATTGTTTTTAAAATAGACTTCCTTTTATATTCCCCCTTTTGGTAGAAACAAATGATCCTATAAAGCCACCTTTTCAGTGTTGTAAGATAACAATGTGTTATGATGCAAAAGTCTAACTGTTTTCATGCGGTAGAAAATGTGCATACTGCCTGGTTTGTATTTTTCAAAGGCACCTCTTCTGGATTTTAAAATTAATTTCCTGGAAAGCAGGTTCAAATCTGACTTGGAAGTAGGTAGTACTGGTAAAGTGGTTTTGAGTTGCACCAGAAGGAGCCCACAGCTGGATTGTAGGACAGTGTGGTGCTTTTTTGCTTGTGGCTTTTACTTGTTTTTTTAAAAGCACTTTGAGCATAAACTGTTATGTTAGTAAAAGTTTTGATAGATCAGTTTTGTCCATCCATGTGCTCTTGCCCCATTGCCTAATTCCTTCTGATTTCAGTTGACCTTTATGTTTTTTCCCCACAACGCCATTTGTGTTTACCTTTTGCCCAGACTAGTGACTACCTTCTGGACAAAAGGAAATAGGTTGTGAGTCGTTTTAAGCTTCACACATGCTAATTGACACCTGATAAGCTCACATCACAGCCTTTCACTTACTAAGGACGCTAGTTTACATCTGTTTCTTTTATTTATTTATTAATTTTAATGAAATACATAGGAACTTGGTCTATTTAAGAACTTACTCTCTACTCTTTGTCCACTGTGCCAAACAGTCCCAGTAGTAGTTAAAGCAGGTTTACAGGCAGCCAATAAGAGGTGTGATTATATGATACTCACTTCCTTAGAAAACCAGGTTAACAAAATAAAGTTATCCAAGCCTTCCTGGGGAGGGAAGCAGTGTTTGGGACACAAAGCAAGATACTGCCGATTAGCAGCATCATCCCTTCCTGGAAGCTGTTGCCTCCACAAACTGCTGGACTCTGGACTCCAGCTGATACCAGAGCTGGTGTGGTCAGAAGAGGATATCAGGAAAAAGTGTAAAAAAGGTATTATAGGTGGGGAGATGCTGGGGGGATAGGATAGGTTTGGATTTTATTCTTAATTTTTTTATCTAAAAGGGGAACTTTTATATAAAATAGGAGAGTTAACTGGCATGCATTGAGGAATATGAAAATAGAAAGGACTGGTATGTCAAAGACTATTTTGAAAAATAAAGGTGAAGTGCAGCAGAATGTTGGTCTTTTTTGAAAATTTACATTTTCATTTTGTTATCTTTACCCTAAAAACTGTTATATAAAACTATATCAGTTTACTGTGTAGCCCTCTAGAATTCTGTACATCAGAATGAGACAGAGCGGTCTTTGCAACCATCGCAAAAAGAGGAGTCACTTTGTTACTGCTTTATATTCCATTGTTTGTATACTTAAAGGTAGCCTTATCTACAGATTTATCAGGGGAGCTTATTTGTTCTATTGAGTTCTGCCAGAATTCTCAGATTTATTTATTTAGAGATTTGACCTGGTGATACTCTCTGGTCACAGGCCACTGTACATATCCACAGTTTGTGCAATATATTGAAATATGAAAAGAAAGTAACAAATATTGGCATTTATTTCTTCACCATATTCTAGACTCATGCTTGATAGCATATCAACTTAGCCTTGTCTGTTCTTGAGTATATGAAATACTTTGGTTCATGTAAAAAGAATAATTCTTTTGATGGTTTTGTTTGTTTGTTTTTGTTTTTTGTGTTTTTTTTTTTCCTTTAGTGGAAGACCAAATATTCCAAGCTGATTTTTGGAAAATCTGACACGATACCTGAAGAACTCCATGAAATGGTACAAGAAGGCTTTCTGACCTTGCGAAAACATGAATGTTTCTTTCAAGATCTTGTAAGAATCAAAGGAAAAGATTTTGTTACCCCAGTGTCTCGTATATTAATTGGAAAGCCAGGATGCACTTACAAGTACTTGAACACAAGATTATTTACAGTTCCTTGGCCTACTGAAGGTTATGATATAAATTATTGCAGTCCTGAAATACATGATGCTTGTAAAGCATTAATCAGACTTAATGACTACTTGCATATTGAAGCAGTCAAGGCATTGCAAGGACAAAATCTGTTTGAGACCAAAGAAATTAAAGATACTGCTGTCATAGATAGAGAACAAAATTTTGCTACTTCTCCTACGGAGAAAGGGTCTGTTTCAGAAGATCAAAGCAGTTGTTGTGTACCAGAGGATGACTACATAAGTCTCAAGAGCAGAACATCTTATAACTTGACTCTGTTAAATTATATGGATCCCCTGCAAATGCTGTACTTGAAACAAGAACCTTATTTTGGAATGGGGAACATGGCAGTGAGCTGGCACCACGACGAGAATCTGGTTGAAAGGTCAACGGTTGCCGTGTACAGTTACAGCTGTGAAGGTGAGTGATGGGAGGTATGAGTTGACTAGTGATATAAATATCTTAAATCCCTGAAGCTTTTTTATGTTTCCTTGTGGTATGTACATAAGCACACCTGCATGCTAGTCTAGAGTTGTCACGTGCTTCTGAATGTGTTGTTGTATTTAAGCCTTATCTTTGTTTCTACTAAAACCTGTAGAAAATATACCTGTGTTTACTGCAGCTGGCTTATCAGTCATTCTTTAAGTAGATTTAAAAATTGGTACGATTAGCTTCCTGACTAAGAGCCAGGAAATCAAAATCTGTCAAATACCTATTTCAAGTTAATGCATGTGCATATTTTCTATTCTGTAAAATGTTTCATTGTAGTTGAGATCACTATCTTCATTGTGTAATTTATCCTATACAGACTTGCTTCTGCTTTATGCTGATTTTACTACTCTCCTTTCTTTGGGAAGATCAATTTAGGTTGGTTTTGTATAAAAGCATTACTGTATTTCCTTGGAAGTATATATATTTTGTCTAGGCTTGCTGTAGCACTAGTGCATGTTTTGCAGAGGACTTGCCAACATTTCTATAGTTGGAAAGGGTGGAAGTTTGTCATTAAAAGACTTGTTGCCTGACAGGCTTTGCAGACTACTGGTTATTTAATGCAGTATTAGGGGGAAAATTGTGTCGTTGAAGAGTCATTAAATAATTTCATTTTTAGTTTAAAGTATCTTTCCCATCTTAATCTTTATTTTATAAAGACATGAAGACTTTTATTTATTTTTTCCTAACAATTTTTGAATAAAGCCTTGGCTTTTTTTTAATGGCTTCCAGTTTTGTAAACATAAGACTAGAATTTAGACACTTAATTTGAATTTGCAAATGCTCCCTTATGTTTTATAATTCAGAACTGATTTTTAGTCCTTCCAAAAATCCTTTGATGTTTGCTTCCAAACATGGGAAGAATTCACGATGACTTTGGTAGGTTTTGGCTAAAGATGGTGATGTAAAAATAAGAGTTTATACTTTCATTTGCATTCTTTTCTTAGTTTTGAAACTATGGTACACTTCTTTATTTGATGTTCAGGGGAAATCATCATATTTATATTTTCCTAGACATAAAACATTAGGTGGCTGAATAGAAGAGATTCCCTGATCAGCAGAAATTTAATTTTTCCCATAAGCATTTTTGTGTCTTATTTACCAACAATGTTGATGTTTTCTGTCCAGTAAATGCATTTTTT